GGGTCACCTTGGGGGCACCTTCAGGTCACCCTAGGGTCACCCTGGGGGCACCTTCAAGTCACCCTTGGGGTCACCTTGGGGCACCTTCAAGTCACCTATAGGTCACCCTCGGGGTCACTTTGGGGGAGCCTTTGGGTCACCTTGAGGGCACCTTCTGGTCACCTTTGTGGCCACCTTGGGGTGCCTTTGGGGTCACTTTGGGGACACCTTTGGGTCACCTTTGTTGTCACCTTGGGGGCACCTTTGGGGTCACCTTTAGGGATGCCTTGGGGTCACCTTCTGGTCACCTTTGTGGTCACCTTGGGGCGCCTTTGGGGGAAACTTTGGGGCACCTTCGAGTCACCTATGGGTCACCCTTGGGGTCACTTTGGGGCGCCTTTGGGACACTTTGGGGTCACCTTGGGGACATCTTTGGGTCACCTTGGGGACATCTTTGGGTCACCTTGGGAGGTGCCTTTGGGGGCACCTCTGGGGACACCTTTGGGTCACCTTCAGGTCACCCTCGGGGTCACCTTTGCGGCACCTTTGGAGTCACTCTCAGGGACACCTTGGGGCACGTTTGGGGTCACCTTCGAGTCACCTTCAGGGTCACTTTGGGGTCACCTTGGGGGCGCCTTTGGGGGCACCTTCAGGTCACCCTCGGGGTCACCTTTGTGGTCACCTTGGGGCACCTTCAAGTCACCTATAGGTCACCCTTGGGGTCACTTTGGGGTCACCTTTGGGGGACACCCTTGGGGTCACTTTGGGAATGCCTTTGGGTCACCTTCAGGTCACCCTAGGGTCACCCTCAGGGTCACCTTCAAGTAACCCTTGGGGTCACCTTGGTGGTCACCTTGGGGCACCTTCAAGTCACCTATAGGTCACCCTTGGGGTCATTTTGGGGGCGCCTTTGGGTCACCTTGAGGGCACCTTTGTGGTCACCTTGGGGCACCTTTGGGGGCAAATTTGGGGTCACTTTGGGGGCACCTTTGGGGTCACCTTTGGGGCACCTTCATGTCACCCTTGGGGTCACCTTGGGGGCACCTTTGGGGTCACCTTTAGCAATGTCTTTGGGTCACCTTCTGGTCACCTTTGTGGTCACCTTGGGGCGCCTTTGGGGACACCTTGGGGTCA